TTGCCTCAACTACTCTTCCAGTTTTTGAGACATACTCTACCAGCTTTCCTTAAATTTGATCTTTCTTTATCTTTATTAATTCGTTTGGTTCTTTTTTCTAAAATCTGCATAAGATTCAGTTTCTCTATTGTTTTCTTCAGTCCTTTTCTGTTGCTCTGAGTCAGATTCATCTTTGTTCGAAGCTAAGTGGTCAGTTTTCTTCTTGTTTATTTTTCTGCTACGTTTTTTTGACTCCTTGCCTTGTCTTTTACTGTTTTTATTTTTCTTCGTTTTTTCTCTCTTCTATCATTATTGGATATATCTGACTCCGTATCGTCTGATCCTTCCCATGAAGAAGAAGTCAGTGTAAATTCTTTTTCGTCAGAAATGAAGTCAACATATTTGAAATTTAATCTTTTATTTTTTTCAGGTTTCTCTTCTATATATCCAGGTTTGACCTTCCTCCTTTCAAGTTTTCCTTTACTATTTCCAGGCATTTCCTTGTCAACAATATGAGTTTATGAGTCGAGGTGTTTTCTGCTGAGACAGACATGAAGTATTACCCTGTATAGCTTTATAATCCGCTGTATTTGCTCGCAGTAGCTTTGTTACAAAATCAGTATTGTCTGGTTGTCCTCGTTTTCTACTGTTCCTGTTCCTTATTCTTGTTGTACCTTATTCATGTGAACAGTCTCAATTAAATATTTTGGTTAATCTATAACTTGGGCACCAATTATTTCAAAACTACTCATCACTAACCAAACGTAACCAAACAATCTTAACTGTACAATACTTTTGCTTAACACTACAATAATACAAAAAAAAGTATAAACATACCTTTTTATATTCCAAAATCAAGATCCCAACAATAACACTTAACGCACTTACTTACACGTCACAATAAACATAAACAGTACCTATAAATTTCTTTGCGAACACCGTCACTAGCGTAGACTAACTAATACTACTGAAGTTAGGTGATTACCTACATCCAGCGGGCGCGCGCGAATCGAGAAACGATGTGTTCCAACAGGACTCGAGTGCGCTAAGTGTGCTTACAATCACACGCATATTATAAATATTATGTGCCTAACCGATATTTACACTACAGTCTCCAATAGATAATAGTACTAACGTACTACAGTAGTCATCAGTTTAAAACATAGCATATCGCTAAAACGATTCATATCTTTAGGAAAATGCCTTCCTTATTCTAATAGGAATGTTATTACTTAATTGTCACAACTTTATTTTCTCTAACAGAATGAAATTTAAAAAAATATATTTAGCAAAAATTGCTACAGCGCCAACCATACTTAAATCTTATGCTAACAGTTTTTCTTAAGCACCAAACAGTTAAAAACAACGGTAATGAATAATAGCTAACAGAATATGAAATAATACAATTCTAAAATTTAATATTGCTAATGTAACAATGTCATTCAAATTAAGAAAAGAAAAAATACTTATGTTGCTATTGTGAAGAGAATGTAGTAAGGAATAACGTTCTAACGGATCTCTTTACTGAAAATGTGTTTCTAAAGCTACGTCTATTTCAAAAACAAGGGAAAATCGTCGCTTTAGATCTTGGAATTCGGAACATCCCTCAATTTTTACAAATGCTAAAACGCCAAAAACTAGCTCTGATTCACTTGAAACCTACACAGATCGACGCGGAAAAAAAAAAGCAATCCAACAATATAATTAACTCATTTTGGCCCAAATGGCGCTTTAGCATTTTATCCTTTCCAGTGACGATATATTTATTTCAAAATTAATGCTGCAATATTTTCGGCATAACGGAGGATCTTGCTAAGCCATTTGACGTTATATTTCCCCTTAAACGCGGATATTTTCACAATAATATTAGTAAATTTTCGTCGCCTGAGGTCTGCAAATTTCTTAGTATCTACTATTCGTGTGGATAAATGAACCAATATGGATAGCGGTCCTTCTCTTTCTCACGATGAATTGAATAACCATTTTTGCTTCTACTGTTGCAATGGACCTATTAATCCGATATCAAACTACTTTGCTTAGATTTCGCCACATGTCTGTCTTCCATTTCTCACCTGTGACCATCAGGAAATTAAAAAGATTCTTATGACAGTCAAAACTTAAGCCGTTAGATACGATGAAATTGGTAGTGTGGATGTACTTTTCTCCTATTTCCATTTTGTCATTTCTGCCAAAAGTTTTGAAAGCCTGTGTTCATTTACAATTCTCTAATTCACATAAAACATAACTTGCTGAGTCTTTATCAGTTCGGGGAGTGCTCTGGTCACGGTGCTACAACTAATTTACTTAAAGTTACTAAGATTTAAGGGAAGGAATGAAAATTGAACATTAATATCGCCCCTTGCAAACCTTTCCGTTGCACATAGGTTTAGACGATACAGTGTAAATAGATACTTGAACAAAAATAAGCGAGTAAGTGGTTGTATTTTTCCATGCATGTTTAAGTACTATTAAATGTTGCGAAAAAAAAACTGAAGAGCGTAGACAGAGAAACCTATAGACAAATTGACGCCTTCTTTCGCATTCGCACACGAAAAAGATAGATTTATGCATACGTCTTGCATAGAAATGAGACAGAGCGGTGTTATTGTTTGTCCCTTTCTCTGTGCCGGTTTTTTTGTTTAGCAAACTAAACTTTGCTAAACAACTTTGACAGTTCGTAGCGATCTAAGGAGTTTGTAAGTTGGTTTAAGTGAGAAAAAAGTGTTTTGTGAGTTAAGATGTGAATCTTGTTCAGTTCAGTCCTTAGAACAGTTAAAAATTTTATCTAAATATGTTTAAAAGTCATAAATATTATTGTATAACCTAAAACTACGTTATCGCCCTTTCTCATTCGAGGCCACGCTAATCATTAGTCTATAGGTTTCTCTGTCTACGCTGAAGAGTATCACTTGAACGGTACGTAGCGTTCTGCCTATTTCTTCTTAGGATATGGCATATGGGTGAAATAAATAAATAAAGCTTATTTTGTTTTTAAACATTTTTTTTATTTCTAATAAATAGTGCAATGTATAAGTAACAAGTAAATGTACTTAGAATTGTATATTAAACATTATTTATTATACCTGTTTTATTTTAAAGTATATGTAAAAACAATTTAAAAATAAAAAATAGCTTAGGTTGCATATTTAAGTGTATATTAATAATAAATTTGATCGGATTGACTTCTTACAATATAATTCTTGGCATACTTAAAAACTATATAGTTATATAGTTTAAAGTAATTATAAGGGTAATTCAATATGAACTACCATATTTACTTCTTTAGTATAAAACGTCCTTACAATTTACAACATATTTGGAATCGACACAAGTCTGATAAACATCATCGAAGAAATATCCTGCGTCGCAACTGAGTAGACGAGGCTTTCTCTTGTGACAGGCTACGTATTGTCTGCAGCTTTCACCGTACCTGCGGAAAACGTATTTTAGCTATCGTTAACTTCTGTAGAGAAAAAAATTATGTTGACTTGAAACTTTGACTTAATAAAAAAATATCTTAAAACTTCTTGTTTTTTTTTTTTTTTAAATTAATGAAGCATCAGGTACGGTGTTACAACCCAAGAGTGATAAAGTGTTGAAACCAATGAAGTTGTCTCAATTATATTTCCCACATTCATGTTGCATTATATTATATTGTTTACTTAACATTATTTCATTTTAGCTTAATATATCACCGGAAACCTATTGTGATTCTTATGTTCTGTTATTTTACCGGATACCTGTTATTAGTAGATACTTTATACGCAATCGTCACGCTTTAGTACTACTTGTGAGTTGGCTTGTACGCGTTCGAATAGTATACCAGCGTAAAATAGCAGAATAATGTTTATTGCATGGTGTACACATGTGTCAATCATGCATTTCTCGTGACCGAATCATTCTAGTACAATTCGTCACGCGTACCGGTACGTTCGGATCGACCATTCAAATGGATTATTTCGGTCTCCAGTACTCTAACACTAAAACCAATTCATTCAGATCATTCAGGATTCGGTCGGTTTTCGACTCATTCACGATTCACCTCAATCACGGGTTAAAAAGGTTCCGTCAATTGTTTGTGATTGGTTGTACCGGAACATTCAAAAACATGAATGAACCACCAATACTAATCATTTATGGTATGACGAGAACTGGAAGTTACATGAATACAGCATGAAATACAGCATGCATTTACCATCAGATGGGCTGTGTGATCGCATGTGATCCACACTTCTATATAAAAACATGGCAACGAGGCATTATTTATTTCTTAGCCCACGAATATGACAGCGCTTTTTTTTTGTTTTTATCAGAAATAAATGTAGACATATGAATAGACGAAGAAATTATTAACTATTAGGATGATTGTGAGCTCTTTAGTTACTATTTTTACTATTTTTTAATACGAACAGTCGCACAAAATTGGTTTAATACTACCCATGCTAGAAACGTCTACGGTAAACGATCAGCTACTTATTTAATTCCCCAATTAATAAACAACTTACCCTTTAATTTACATAATAACTTTACACGAGAAAATATTAAAACAAAATTAAAATCTTATTTCCTACTTAACACTGATCTTGACATTTAGAAATGAACTTACCAAGCATCTAGTTATTTAATTACCTAAGTTATCAAAATAGTTATTAAAAATTTTGCCCGAAACTATTTGCAACACAATTAAATATTACTTATAGATATTTTATTTTTCTTAATCAAACCTGGAAATATCTATGAAGATGATAGCATTATTAACAAATATTTGTGGTTTATTGATGCTATTTTACTTGTTATTGTAGTGAACTTTGAAATAGTAAATAAATAAAAAGAGTATTATTTTGCATCAATTTGCTGTTTTAATTCTACCTATAAAATCTTTTAGTTCGCCTTCTCCCTTTACTAATTTATGTATTATTTTATGTTTTAGCTATAACTTTTTCAAAATAACAAAATAAAAAAATATTGAATTACGGTAAGTTTTGTTCTTTCTTAGATATATGACGTATAAAGGTACTTACTTACCTATATTTAAAAATGTGTTCATCGTCATGACCATAGCTTTCATTTGGGCAAGTGAAACCTTCAAATGCTGCAAAAAATAAACATATTATTATATGTGATAAATATTTAATTATAAAACTGTAAAATACATTTAAATATGATTTAATTTAAAACAAAGTAAAAAAATCACGTTAATGTTGTTTTTTTTGTTAAATTATTTTTGATCTTTAGAGCATTTGTTAGGTATCCTGGCTTATTTTCTATGCAAAGAAATTTTCGTTACTGACACGTAAAATATTCATCTAAAAATAATCTCACCTCGGGGATTGCAAGCCGGCACGTTCACTGGCCAATCGCAGCTTTTTGTTTTGTCATTGAAAGCCAGACCAGCTGGGCAATTCATCAGCACCACCTTCCCAAAGTAGCACATGAGGTACTGATCACAGTTGCCATTATTTATAGGAAAAACTTCACCATTTGCGCAATCAGTATGTACTGTCGGGCGAGGTTCTGGTGCTTTAGTTGGAGGCGGGGGTGATAGAGTTGGTCTTACCTGTATAGGTGGCAGTGTTGGGAAAGGTTCTGGTTTTTTAGTTGGTGTTGGTGGTGGTAGAGTTGGTCTTTCTTGTGTAGGTGGCAGTGTTGGACGAGGTACCGGTGCTTTAGTTGGAGGTGGGGGTGGTAGCGTTGGTCTTTGTTTTACAGGTGGCAGTGTTGGGCAAGGTTCTGGTGCCTTTGTAGGAGGTAGAGGTGGTAGAGTTGGTCTTTCTTGTATAGGTGGCAGTGTTGGGCGAGGTACAGGTGCTTTAGTTGGAGGTGGGGGTGGTAGAGTTGGTCTTTCTTGTGTAGGTGGCAGTGTTGGACGAGGTACGTTTAGTTGGAGGTGGGGGTGGTAGTTGGTTTACAGGTGGCAGTGTTGGGCAAGGTTCTGGTGCCTTTGTAGGAGGTAGAGGTGGTAGAGTTGGTCTTTCTTGTATAGGTGGCAGTGTTGGACGAGGTACGGGTGCTTTAGTTGGAGGTGGGGGTGGTAGAGTTGGTCTTTCTTGTACAGGTGGCAGTGTTGGGCAAGGTTCTGGTGCCTTTGTAGGAGGTGGAGGTGGTAGAGTCGGTCTCTCTTCTTTAGGTGGGAGTGTTGGACGAGGTACGGGTGCTTTAGTTGGAGGTGAGGGTGGTAGAGTTGGTCTTTCTTTTACAGTTGGCAGTGTTGGGCAGGGTTCTGGTGCCTTTGTAGGAGGTGGAGGTGGTAGAGTCGGTCTTTCTTGTACAGGTGGCAATGTTTGACACGGTACCGGTGCTTTAGTTGGAGGTGGGGGGCGGTAGAGTCGGTCTTTCTTGTACAGGTGGCAGTGTTGGGCAAGGTTCTGGTGCCTTTGTAGGAGGTGGAGGTGGTACAGTCGGTCTTTCTTGTACAGGTGGCAGTGTTTGACACGGTACCGGTGCTTTAGTTGGAGGTGGGGGTGGTAGAGTCGGTCTTTCTTGTACAGGTGGCAGTGTTGGGCAAGGTTCTGGTGCCTTTGTAGGAGGTGGAGGTGGTAGAGTTGGTCGTTCTTGTATAGGTGGCAGTGTTGGACGAGATACGGGTGCTTTAGTTGGAGGTGGGGGTGGTAGAGTTGGTCTTTCCTGTACAGGTGGCAGTGTTGGGCGAGGTACGGGTGCTTTAGTTGGAGGTGGGGGTGGTAGAGTCGGTCTTTCTTGTACAGGTGGCAGTGTTGGGCAAGGTTCTGGTGCCTTTGTAGGAGGTGGAGGTGGTAAAGTTGGTCTTTCTTGTATAGGTGGCAGTGTTGGACGAGGTACGGGTGCTTTAGTTGGAGGCGGGGATGGTAGAGTTGGTCTTTCTTGTATAGGTGGCAGTGTTGGACGAGATACGGGTGCTTTAGTTGGAGGTGGGGGTGGTAGAGTTGGTCTTTCTTGTACAGGTGGCAGTGTTGGGTACGGTTCTGGTGCTTTAGTTGGAGGTGGAGGTGGTAGAGTTGGTCTTTCTTGTATAGGTGGCAATGTTTGACATGGTTCTGGGGCCTTTGTAGGAGGTGGAGTTGGTAAAGTTGGTCTCTTTTCTTTAGGTGGGAGTGTTGGACGAGGCACTGGTGCTTTAGTTGGAGGTGGGGGTGGTAGAGTTGGTATTTTCTGTATTGGTGGCAGGGTCGGGAGTGGTTTTGTTGGTGGTGGAGGAGGCAACGTTGGTTTTTGTTGTACAGGTGGCTGTGTAGGGCAAGGTTCCGTTACTATTGGAGCTACTGTAGATGATGGAGGTGGTAATGTAGGTGGTAAAGTTGGACGAGGTACTGGTATCCTTGGCGGTAGTGTAGTTGGTGGTGGTGGAATGATTGGTTTTTCTTGGTTTGGTGGTAATGTTTGGCAAGGTTCAGGCTCTTTTGGCATAGGTGGTTGGAATGGTGCAGCAGTTTTTTCTGGCTTAGGTAGTTCTGTGGGTGTTGTTTCTGGCATCTTAGGTTCACTCTCTTTTTCTGGAATTAACGTCTCTTTTTCTTTGTTTTGATCACAAGGTTGTGTTGGCGGCTTTTGATTCTCAGGATAAACAATAAATATGTTAGTCGGTCCTTTGGGAAGTTTGACGTCACACGGCATATTCTGGTTTTGTGGCGAAACGGGGTCGTTTAATTTATTAAAGCCTGGTGTTTGTTGTATATAATAACTAGGATTTCCGGCAGGTATTGAAATGCTTGGGACTAAAGTTTCCCGGTGAGTGTATACCGGTAGTTCAGGTCTTTTATACGTGAAGTATCCGTATGACTCCGGTTGTGATTCACCTGCAAGCAAATTCAATTTCTAATTTAAATAAATAAAATAGACAATATTGAAGTGGTCAATTGTATTTAATACTATTCTTTTTAAATTGAAACGGCTAAATTTCAAGTAAATTAAACCTAAAATATGTGAAGTGAAGTAAGTTCACGGATTGGTCGCTATAACTGCCTAAGTAAGAACCAGCAAGAAATCTAGCGGGACTTTAAAAAAAGTAAATTATACAATATGAAAGGTTTAAGGTACGCATTGCGGGCGTACTATAGGGCGAAAGAGGAAGAAGTGTATGTGAATGGACTCCTGCTAAACAACTGGAAAAAAATTGTGTGCGTGATAAAGTTGATTAGAGGATGGTTTCGATTCACAATTGGACACTGGCGCTATTGTCGAGATTCAGAAATTATGCGGGGCAGATTGCTATTAACATATTAATCATGTCAATATCAATCATATGATTTCGTTTATCTACTCATGTGCTTCGTCGTCGATAGTGAGTGAAGTAAGTTCACGGATTGGTTGCTATAACTGCCTAAATAAGAACCAGCATGAAATCTAGCGGGACTTTCAAAAAGTAAATTATACAATATGAAAGGTTGTACAAACTATTTACAAATTTTATTTTAGAAACAGCTTGGAAGGGACCACCTCCTTCCCAGAGGTTATTATCAACCATGTGTTCTTTTATATTATAATAACCATTTTTCATACAGTTTTTATTCTTAGAAATTGTATGAAAATACAATTAAATGACGTCAATTAAATGACTTCATTTAAATGACGTCGGATAATAGAATCTTATTTGGATATTTATAAATAATAAAAATCTAATTATTACTTTAAAAAATTAACTAAGTTTTATAACACCACAAAGTAGGAAGGTCAAATTATATGACGCGCTATTTTCTAGTCATTGACTACCCATTCATTTGTTTACGGTATGTTAAAAAGTGAGATTTCTTTATCAATTTACTATTGGCAGCTAATCCATTTAAACTTTTTTTATAGGATAAGGGTGACGAACGAGCACACAGTCCACCTGATGTAAGTAAGTGGGAGCTATCGCCCATAGACATCTACATTTTACCTCGCTTAAGAATCAAAACGCAGATGCGTTGTCACCCTTGAGGACTAAGATGGAATGCCTCGATTCCAGTAAAACGGGTCTGCGGTTTTCTCTAAACTCACCATACGAAACACAAAAATTTTATGCTATTATTGTTATATTATTAACAATTTTATATGCTGCTATTTTGCGCTGGTATTTTGGGAGAGTGTGGTCCTTCCCCGGTAGAGCCGACCCATTCATGCTACAACCATAATAGCTGCAGTGTGGCTCCACCAGGTATAAAAACCAATAGCTAATTACAAATTCACTGTATAATTCGTACCTCTCATCACGATAAGGCATGATTCTGACTTCTGAGTCACATGTGAATGTCGATTCTCATATCTCACTCATTATATCCATTTACCGTTGGTTATTTTACACTGATCTGTTTGATTCGTAGTTTTGAAACTTGAAGAAAAGAACTTAATTCTATTTATATATTTATGAATACCACTCTATCTTTTGATAGAAACAATTAGAAAAAATCTAAAGGTCACTTTAGTATAGTGATAATTTACATTAGATTGATTATGTTAAAAATAAATTACTTATTTAATAAGTTATTAGCTAGTAAAAGGTAGATTGCAACATTGACATAGTGTTTAGAATTGAAATGGACAGGTCAGTATTTATTCAGTCTGCAAAGGTAAAATAGAAATATTCTTTATACAGCTTTACTCGATGAAAGGGTTACTTTATAAAAGCAAAGGATTTGTGAATATTTTTATTAACTATCTATTAATTTTAAAACAACAACATACTATTCAGGAGTTATGAAGAATACATTCATCAAGAGAAGGTTTAATTCTACTTATTATAGTAATGATTACTATGAGTTCAGACAATAATACATACATGGGGTAGATAATTTTACCTGACTGCTCGAAGCAAAGTGTGATTCTTATTAAAATGTGGAATTATTTATATTTTCGATGCATGGACATAAACCAACGGTCGGGTGGATTCAAGTCAACGAGGTGTCTATCGATTTATCTAAATTTTACAACGGTTACAGGTTTTATTTTTATAAAATCCAAATAGAAAATACGTAATGAGTGGCATTCAATGATTCTATACGATAGGGGTCTTTCATAATCAAAATTACTTTTCCCAGACTATTTTACAGGCGTTAGTTCCGTTTGAGCCGTCGCAGCTCAAGGGTTAAGTGCTCGCAGTAGCACAGTACGTGAGCACCCCGGTTTAAATCCTCGCCGGTACCAGTGAATTATTGACTACAATTTTTAGTGCTGATTTACCTCGTGCTCGGCGGTGATGGAAAACATCGCGAAGCCTGCGTGTCTGAGAAATTAAAAAAATATCTCAAAGACATGAAGTCTGCGAACACGCATTGGGGCACAGCGCGGCAGATATTGCCTTGCCCTAAAATCCTCTCAAGAAAGAGGAATATTTTGTCCAGCATTGGGCAGCTAAGACTCCGATTCCGTTTGACGTCGATCGACAATTAATCGATGTGGTTGTGCGCTCTACATCAGTATTTTTCAAAATGTATTCGTAATGAAATATTGACGACATTTTAAATAGCGGGCGGCGTCGATCGATTGATTGGTGTGGCAACACACTTATGCACAGCAGTCAAGTTCTTTCTTTTTAATAATAATTTGCTTTTTTTTACTGAAATTTATTGAATACGTTGAACTTTTACTTACCATACGCCAAAGCAAGCAACAATAAGAACAGTATTCTTTTTCGTAACATGATTTCAACTGAATCACGATGTTTTGTGACCGACACTATTCACCGAACTGTTTGCTATTTGAGAAAGACTTTCTTATATACAAATGCTGCATTTTGATTCTAGTTATTGGAACAATTATCTATATTGATATTAAAGATTGTTAATTGATGTTTAATGTTCATTGTGGTTGAACCTGTACCGAATGATATAATGTAACGGTGCTTAGAAAAACGGTAAAGGTCCATAATTCCGACTGCATACTAAAAGTATCTTTAAGCAAAATAACGTGCACAACAATGGGCTGTCATGGATGGATGTTTATTTGCAACGTTTTGTCCCTATGTATCTGTATATAAGCGGAGATGAGTAGGTATAAATTTTTTACTTTATGTAGTATCAAAGTAATTATATTGAACATTCGCTATTTTTATATATAATAAATGAATTATATATATATATATATATATATATTGCCTATAAATTATATATATATGATGTAGACATTGTTGTATATCTGGACGAAGACGAAAGAGGACCTGTTATAAGTAGTCCCTAACGTAACTGTTGGATAAAGTCTGTATTCCTCAGAGCAAGGGGAGAAAAGAGTCGCAAGATTTGAGAATAAATCGCTCCGTCGCGTAAAATATAACTATAAAATCAGAAGAACGCAACTGAAAAGAGGACATGTTGAGAGATGTTGTTTACTTAAGCGGGTGGTTCCCAATATTTATGACAGGATAAATTCATAATCAAATTTCTCCTGTGGCTGGTGCTCCACGATGCCAAAATGCGGAGACAGGTTTGTGGTGCAATTCGAGCTACCGAGAAAACATCAAAATTAACTAGGAAAATTACCGATGCGAAATCCTTGAAGCTGTGCTAATTCCTTGGAATACAGACCACCTATCAGTGAATATTGAAACTAGGCAATGCTCCAGCTCCCAGGACCTTAGGTTTGTAGTTTGGCCACCCTTCTCGACTCATAAATGCGAACTACGCGTCATAGATGTGTTGACGAGCAAACAGATACTTTTACATGAAAGTCGTCAATTTATCCGTATTTGAATGCAAAAAATACGGATTGTTTTTCTCTATGTACAATCTTTAGACAAGTAGCCTATTTTGTAAATAATAGGGACAATATAAGGCGTAACTTTATAAATCTTAATTTCATTCATTTGACTGAAATTGTCTATATTTCTATTATATATTTAATATATTATTTTATAGTTTTATAAAAAAACAATAAAATAATATAATTATTAATTAATCACTATCACGCTTTTGAGTAGCTCAAAGAAATGTTGACAATCTGAAAAAAATAAGAAAAAAAATTCATCTTTTTTATTTATTTCTTTCGAATAATTAATGGTGGATTTCATGGCCGTCATGTAATTTACGTCATAATGCTTAGTGGCGATATTTGATCGACATTACATTGGCATCTATCGATAGGCACGATAAAATACAAATGTTAATTTTTCGCGTCACGGTTAGTCTAAAAGATCTTAATATAATCGAAAATATGAAAGCTGGATTGCTTATTATTCATTCATTATAGACTATCATGCCCACTTCTGAACATAGGCCTCCCCCAACGATCGACTCGTAAGGGAGATACTTGCCATAGTTGCCACGCTTCAAAAGTGGGTTGGCAATGGCTGTTTTTTATGTCTTTGAGTTGTTAGAAATACGAAGCAGCCTGCCTTCTGCTTAATTTTCCTCCGTCACGTCTCACGACACCTACGAGATGATTAAAGTTTAGAGGAAAAGCATTTTCTCACGCCACCATAACAATACTTAGAATGTAATGCTAACTTAATGAAATAAAACATTATTTAAGTTAATTTTTATTAAAAAATTCACAAAAGTTATTAGTTTTTTTATAATATCTGTCTTCTTATTCTACTTTGTCAACCCGAGAAAGTCCATTGCTAGATTTGGGCGTCTCACGGTGTAGAGAGGAGTCAAATGTAAAACATTTTATCTTAGCTCATAACACAATAATGTGCCTTTAGTTGGAGCTGGCTGCAGACGGAAGACCCGGAATCTCAGTGAGATAAACTGATATGATAAAAGATTCTAGTAGCTTATAATACCTGAAATGTGACAAAATATTACATTTAGTGTAATTTGTCATTAAACTTAACACTTTACAAGCATTTTCTGTTCGTTTATTAAGTTTCGTCGGCTGTCTAACTCGATGGTATGATAGTAGTTTAGGTTAATCGGGCACTTTACGCGGCCCTACTTTATATTTTAATATTTAACTTTAACTTCAATCAAGTTTAATCTGATGCTGTGCCAGAATCACGAGGATTATTACAACACATTTTTGTCATCGTCGTAAAACCGAGTAAATTAGTGTTCTAAAAAAATTTTCTGAATTAGGTTTTAACACGCAATCCTTGATTATGTATCTAACAGCCTTTACGATATAGGAGGAAATTCAAATAAAAAAAACATATATACCCCGAGACCTTAGTAAAATAGGTTTTAACATTAAATAGCGTAATAAGTTGGAAAAAAGGGACTCGAATACATCCTAGTCACTAAGATGTATTGTTCACTGGGACCTACTACATTTGTATGGCTAAATCTATGATGCAAGTCATTATAGTTTTGTATAAAGTAATTAACGAAAATATAAAATAACCACATTTTATCACGCTTATGGCCGTCATAAAAAAGTGGTTAAAGCGTAAAAGTGGTTATTAAAGAAGAAATTGTATTAATGGATTATTTACTTAACATTCCTAAAATATTAAATTAATATTTATTTTAATTGATTTTATCAACTAAATCTAATCTAAATTAAGCTTGAACATAAGAAATAAATTTTTAAAGGTGAATATTGCGTATGTTTTATACCAGTACATATGTTTGCTATACCATGTAGCACGAATGGGTAGAATCAACCGGAGAAGGACCTCGCTTTCATAGAATATAAGTAAAAGTAAAGATAGAGCCTAAAAACTTCGCACAGCTGGGCACAGGCCTCTCATAATTTCTGAGAGGGGTTTAGGTTAAGAAAGTGTCTGCCGCGCTGCCCCAATGCATGTTGGCGAACTTTACATGTCTTCAATATTTGTTTTCTTATTTCTCAGATCTGCAGGTTTTCTCACGATATTTTCCTGCACTGTCGAGCACGTGGTAAATCAGCACTTACAATTGCATTTAAAAATTTTATTTTATTATATTTTATAGTGTAAAATAGCAGCAGTGTTTTTCATATGGTGTGTGTAGAGAACCGAAAACCTTTTTTACAGGAAACGGGGCATTGCATCTTAGTCCTCAGGGGTGGCAACGCACTCACATATAGATTTTCAATCGAGAATAAATGTAAATATCTGTGGGACACAGTATCCACCTATGATCAGGTGGACTGTGTGCTTGTTTGTCATAATCATCATCATCATCATTACAGCCCTTCACAAGTCCACTGCTGAACATAGGCCTCCCCCAAGTAATGCCACAAAGCACGGTCCTGAGCCACCTGCATCCATCGACTTCCTGCATGTCTTACCAGGTCGTCACTCCATCTAGTGGCGGGTCGCCCTACACTACGCCTACCGGTACGAGGCTGCCACTCGAGAACCTTTCTTCCCCATCGGTTATCGGTTCTTCGAGCTATATGGCCGGCCCATTGCCACTTCAGCTTACTAATCCGTTGGGCTATGTCGGTCACTCTGGTTTTACTGCGGATATCCTCATTTCTGAGTCTATCACGCAGTGAAACTCCCAGCATAGCCCTCTCCATAGCTCGCTGAGCGACCTCGAGCGTCCTCATACGGCCAGCGGTGAAGGACCACGTCTCAAATCCGTAAGCCATCACTGGAAACACGCACTGGGTATACACTTTAGTTTTCAGAGATCGAGGTATACCTGACGAGAAGATGTGTCGTAATTTCCCGAACGCTGCCCAGCCGAGTTGAATCCGTCGATTGACCTCTCGGTCGAAGTTGGACTTACCTAGTCGGACTATTTGTCCCAGGTAAACGTACTCGTCAACAACTTCGAGCATAGTGCTCCCAACAAATACCGGCATAGGTGTGACATGGACATTAAACATGATCTTTGTTCTGTCCATGTTCATCTTAAGACCTATCCGTTGCCGTGTAGTGGCGGTTGAGAATATCCACTACCTCATATCTTCCCGTGGGTGTCGTAAGAGGAGACAGAGGGAGACAGGCAGGAGATGGGCAGCAGCATCTTTCTGATAACAACTGTGTTATAATAAAAAACTGCGGTTGCCAACCCGCTCGCCAAGCGTGGCAACTATGGCAAATATCCCCCCATGAATAACGACGCAAAAAAACGGCCCCCAGTCCCCGGCGGCCCCGCTATTCCTGGCTACGGTGGTGACCATGGTAACGGCGGGGCAGGGGGGTGATAATAATCTCCGGTGTAGGTTCGGTTGCAACCTACGACGACTCGACCTGGCAACATATAACGCACGCACTCTGAGGACTGACGAGAAGATACTGGAGCTGGAAGAAGAGGTAGACAAGTTGCGCTGGCATATTATTGGATTATCCGAGGTCCGAAGAGAGGGGGAGGATACGCCAATCCTCGAGTCCGGCAACTTGTTCTACCACCGGGAGGGCGACCATCTGTCCCAAGGAGGTGTCGGATTTATCGTCCACAAGTCTCTCGTCAACAACGTTGTAAAGATTGGAAGTGCGTCGACGAGGGTCGCGTACCCGATACTCAGAATCACCAAACGGTATTCGCTGAAGGTCATACAGGTTTACGCACCAACTTCGGCACATCCCGATAAGGAGGTGGAGGAAATGTATGAGGATATTTCCAGAGCCATACATTCCTCCAAAACCCACTACACGGTGTTGATGGGAGACTTCAACGCAAAACTAGGCACAAGAGAAAGCGGTGAGCTGAAGGTGGGGAAATTTGGAGTAGGGCAACGGTACCGAAGGGTCCAGCAGCTGGCCGACTTTATGGAGAAAGAGGGACTCTTTATGATGAACTCTTTCTTCCAGAAGCGGCCCCACACACACAG